TGGAGTGGAGCAGGGGTGGCCTGTTGTTACTCTGCTGCTAAGACAGCCTGAGATTGCCTTTGCTTTTTGGAGGCCGCCCTGGACACCGCTGACTCACACTGAACTTATTGTTGGCGAGACACTGTGCCCCATCTGGGGCTCGTCCACTGGGCTTTGGGGTTGTAGTGCCGGACTCCGCATTTGCCGGTCATGTTTCATCTTGTTAGATTTGGCTCCTGGCTCTGGGTGGGGGAGATCTCGCTTGGTTCCTCACTGTCTCCTAAGACCCAGGCCCTGGGTCTGCCAGCTCCTGGTCTTCTGCGGTTCCCTGCAGCTGCCGGCTGCCACCTCAGGGTCTGCTCGGCCCCTCCTGGTGGCCTGGCCCCAGTGGAGACTCAGGAGCTGAGAGGTGAGCTTCAAGTCACCAGCTGTGTTCCAAGTGGCTAAGGGCTGGTGTTGAATCTTGGTTGCTTATTGGCTTGTTGGGTGACCTTGGACTTGCCAGGTGTAACTTCTCCCTGCACCTTGGTTTCTTTATGTATAAAAGTAGAATCATAACAGTCTTACCACCCAGGGTTGTGTGAAGATGAATGGCAGGTGATTTAAGTTACCTCAGTGGAGGGGGCAGGAAGCAACACCAGCTAGGAGCTCACTGAGTGAGCCCAGCTGTGGTCTGAACTGCCCTTAACTGTTATGGGCTCCCCCAGGAGAAGGGGCAGTCCCTCCTGCCTGTGATTTGTATGTGAGATGGCCCCCAAGGGACACAGCTGAGGGGCCTTGTGGCAAACTGCTCTGCTCTCCAGCAATCTACTGTCCTCACTGGCCAGGTGAGGTAGCAGGGGGTTAGGGATTAGAAGACTGAGCTCAAGACCTACACCGACCACTTACTAATTGTGTGACCTTAAGTCACCTTTGGGGTCTCAGGCTCCTTTTCTGTAGAACTTCTATGTGAGATCTGTTGGGAAGATTAAGTGAGGTCACCTATGCATGTCGGTTTATTAGGGACGTCAGAGCAAAGAACCTCAGACTGGACTGCTTAAACAACACAAATGAGTGTACTCACCGTTCTGGAGCTAGAAGTCCAAGGTGTCAGCTGGTTGGTTTCTCCCTAGCCCTCTCTCCTTGACTGGCAAACAGGCACCTTCCTCCCATGTCACCGGATCTTCCTTCTGTAAATACTTGCATCCAAATGTCCTCTTTTATAAGGATACCATTCGTATAGGATTAGAATTCACCCAGTGATCTCATTTTAACTTGATTATCTCTTTAAAGACCCTAGTGCCAAATACAGCCACATTTTGAGGTACTTGGGGTTAGGGTTTCAACACAGGGATGTGGGGGGAATGCAATTCAGTCAGGAGCAGTGTGTGAAGCTACTCTGCAAACCATAAATGGGGTCCTGGGGTGCTGGGCTGACTGTTCACAGGACAGGTCTCTGCAATCAGGAATGGGGTGCTTCAGCTGTTTTCCCCCACCACTGGTAGGGGCTGGGAGCTGCTTCTGTACCTGCACCACTCCCCTGCCCCCCGCCCTGGCAGACCAAGGCCCCATGGGCTCTGCTTCACGGATGTGGCCTCACGGTCATCCTGGTTGCCCATCGGTTTGGCCGTTGCCTTTCATGTGCCAACCTCAGTTCTCACAGAGCTTCTTGAGACAGATGGCAGGCAGACCCTCCAGCTGGCCTCTCTGGGGTCAGGCAGGCTGTGGCCAGTAGTTGGAAATATGAGGGCCATGTGTGCAAGAACCTGAAGCTGGACCCCCAGCCTTGAGGTGGGTGCTGCAGTCACTGGGCAGGTGCTCCCCGGGCTCGGGCCTGGCAGACCCAGAGCCCATGGAGCAGTTTTAGGTGAATGAGTGGATATGGGCAGCAGAAGATCTTCTGGGACCACATCAGCTCATGCAAGGCAGTCTGTAGTCTTCCAGTACGATAGGGGCTAACAGAGGCATCTTGGGGCCCTGTGGAGCATGAATTGGGGATGCTTTTCTGGTCAGGGGGGTCAAGGAAGCTTCCAGGAGGATTTAGCGCTTGAGTAGTGATGGCTAAGATAAGAGGTGGCTGGACAAAAGAAGGTAGGATGGTGACTGTGGGTATTGGCTCCCTCTTAGGTCCCCATGCTCCAGGCATTATGTCTCCATCCGTCTGGTGGGTCACGTCACAGCACTACCCACCACCTCTTCTCTTTTCTACTGCCAGTGTTTTCTAATTAAAAATTTTAATTAAAAAGACTTCATTTGTTTGGTGATTAATTTTTTCCTGAGGGGTGATCCTCGGGTGATCACCTGGAGGTGAATGGGGTTTTGAATTCCATCTGAAGAGGCCTGGAGCCCTCTTTCGGTGACTCTGCCTGCCTTCTTCGTTGTTTTTGGCCAGGTTTTGTTTTTGAGAAGCCATTTATAGCCCATTAAAAGATCAGATGTCTACAGATGATGAATCGAGGCGTTTGAAAATGTTTTCCAATTCACAGCTCATTTCCCTATAGAAAGCTCTGACCCAGTGTGACTTGGAGATGGCTGGGCAGTCTCTGTGTTCCAGGCCCCTGGGGCCGATCTCAGGGAGGAGCGCTGTCCTTAAATTGGACAGTGCAGGCTTCCCTCACAACCTCAAGGGAGAGCATTCCTATGAAACCTTTCCTAAGCTAACATGGTGCTAATCAAAGAAACTATTACCACTAATTTATATGAAAAATCTGCATATTCCTGGCGCCCAAAATAAACTATCAAATCACACCAAATAGCACACTAATCCTAAAATCACACAAACAAATGGTAAAAGCGGGAATGATAAGGACACAGTTTGTAGTTCCTAGGACAGGAGCGTGACAGGGCCAAGGCAAGGGCGCGCACACCTGCAGGATGGTTGCTGCCAGACCAGCTCCGGACTTTGTTTTTGACTTTGCCTTTGTCCATAAAAGTGAAAATCCTCTTCGGCGTATTTTGATTACTGAAAACAGGTGCTAGTGTAGGTCTTTGTAAAAGTGAAATGTTGTGATACAAACGTGGGAAAACTGCAGGTGAGGAACTGCAGGCCCCTACAGCTCATTTGGGGAGAATCACATTGAATGCGGGCATGGCGCTGCTGCTCCCTGGGAGAGAGGAGAGAAGGGCCCAGGCCCAGAGTCCAGCCCAGAGTCCCTGAGTAACCACAGGGGCAGGAGCCTTCTTTAGTGTGGGATTGGTGGGACTTGCTGGTCCCCTGGGCAGGAAGACTGGAATCTGCCCCCAGCCCAGTATGGAGCTTAATATCTCCGCACCTCTCTTCCAGTCTTCAAATTAGGAAGGACAATCTTAGGTTCTTACAAACAGAGTGGTGTTTATTGCCAGCCGATCAATGATACCCGAGGCCACAGGGTTTGCCCATCACTAAATGGATGTGCTGATTTAAACCCCCAAATAACCTTGAGGGATAGAGCTAAATTTAACTAAGGCTGGAGAAGGGACTTCAAGTCACTCAAGTCAGAACCAGGTTTTAGAGCCTTCTAGCGCCTTCAGGGAGTGAAGGTCTACTTAGAGGCCTTTTTCATTTTCTTCTGTGGAATATTTGTTTCTCATTAAATGACATTTCATTTTGATTTGCATCTCCCTGATGACTGGTGATGTTGAACACCTTTTCATGAATCTGTGGACCATTTGTATGTCTTGTTTGGAAAAATGTTTATTCACTTCCTTTTTCCATTTTTTAAATCAAATTATTTTTGCTATTGAGTTATGAGTTTCTTATTTATTTATTTGTTTGTTTGTTTGTTTGTTTGTTTATACAAGCACTGGGTACAGTCAGAAGCGCAGGAGGGTGAGAGAATTCACCAGAGCCAGAGCAGGGAACAGAGCAGGCAGACCGACGAAATACACTGCTGAGGGGAGCAGCAGGCAGCAGGAGAGGTCTGCTCGCCATGTGGGACCCTCGCCCAGTGGCTGGGGATCGAACCGGCGCTGCAGAGGCTGCGGGCAGCTTCTCAACCCAGCGCTCAACTGCTGCGCCACCAGGGAGGTCCGAGTTATGAGTTTCTTGTATGTTTTGGATATTAGCCTCTTATCAGGTACATGACGGTTTGTAAAAACCCCAAAGGTCCCACAAGGGCATTTTTGCCGTGGGATGGCTGCCAAATTATTGTTCCTGAGGGGAGATATTATGAGCAGGGGGGACCTCCTCTCCACCGTCTTGCTGATGTGACAATAGGGACTTACTTTTCAGTATTAGCTTTCTAGGATCTGGGGTGGCGGGAAGCTGGGAGCATGTGCTTTTCTGCCGTCCTCATCCAGTTGTCATTTATTTGCGTCTGTTCCCTTGCCCTGCGCACCCCAGCCCAGGCCTCTGCATTCTTACACTCTGCAGCAGCAGACAGACATCCTAATAATCCCAATCCCTCTCAGTCCTTCCCGGGCTCAGAGGTTTAGAGTCCTTCAGTGACTCCTCACTGACTTCAGGACCAGGCCCACTTCTAGCCTGGCGACAACTCACCTCCCCTTGTCTCCTGGTTCCTCCCCTCACTCCAGTCTTCTGGCCACATCTAAGTGCACACAGGTGTACCTTGCCTCTGCTCACCCTTTGCCTGCCTCTGCTAATGATGTCCCCTCTTCTCTCCCCGACCCTCTGTCATTTGATGCTTACCTTTCAGTCCTCTTCTGGTTGGCCTTTCTTAGGACCTGGATTGGGCATCCTGTTCAGATCCCATAACTCCCTGTGCTATTCCCGTGGTTGTACCTATAACCCCATGTTCTGTGGGTTGAAATCATCTCCTCTGTCTTCCCACTAGAGTGGGGTTTCCCCTGGTGGGGGAGCAGGAGTCCCCTGATCCCAGATGGAGTTTTCGATGACTGAGATGATGCCAGGGCTTGGTGGCTAAGGAGTGTATATGTCTCCTTTCCCCTCAGACCCAGACCCAGGGTCTCCGTGGGCCCTGTACCCAAGAGAACGAGCTCCCCAGAGTTGTGCAGGGGCCCTTTCTTGGCCAGCATGGTCTTTTGGCCTGCAGTTGGTGCCTCAGCAACAGAGAGGGCTGACGCAACTGTTGTTCTCTCCACAGGCATTGGTGCCATCACACAGTGACAAGGACCGTGTCCTGCCAGGTGCAGAACGGCTCGGAGACAGTGGTCCAGCGTGTGTACCAGAGCTGCCGGTGGCCGGGGCCGTGTGCCAACCTCGTGAGGTAAAGGCCACAGGGCTAGTCAGCCTGTTCTACCTTTCAGACCCTTGGAAGAGTGTAAGCCCAGACCAGTTGCTGGGGGAGGCGGGTTGACACTCAGCAATGAGTGTGCATTTATGGAGCACCTTCTGTGTACAGGGCATGGGGCATGAAAGGGACATGCTCCCCACCATGACAGAACCTCACAGTTCGATGGGTGTTTGATGGGCAGAAGCCCATGATGGGCAGTGTGTGGGTTCAGGGGATGGAGTGCTGGGAAGAGCCAGGTGAAGCTGAAAAAATAACTGGTCAGTCTCGGGTCTCCAGAGCAGAATATGGGTCTATGATGAACTTGGAAACCCAACTTGCCCGCAACCCTGCCTGCAACCTGCCCCGACTCTCATACAGCCCCATCCCCTAATAGCCCCGCCCTCTAATAGCCCTGCCCTCTAATAGCCCCACCCTCTAATAGCCCCGCCCTCTAATAGCCCTGCCCTCTAATAGCCTCGCCCCTCTCCCCCATTCAGCCCCTCTCATCAGCTTTCCCCCCTCGCAGCCCTGACCCTCTCGTGTACTCACCCTCACAGACTCATCCCTCTCACCTGCCTCACCATTCTCACAAACGTCTTTCCTCTCTCCTTACCCGACCCGGCAGCAGCCCTGGGCATTCACAGGAAGCCTCTCAAATAGTGGCTCCACATTGAGGGCTTCCCAGAGACCCCTCCCTCACCTCTCCTGTCTCCCTGTTCTCTTCCCCTCCAAGCCCTGTTCCAGCTCTAGGGACTAACTTCTTTTCCTTCTCCTCCACACCTGACTAGCCCTGGGTTTCTGCTTCAAGGACCCTTCCCGGTCTTGTACTGGGGCCATCCTCCTCCAACTCTGGATCTTTCTCTGTGCTAAGAGCGCACGGTGCCCCCTGCAGGGCGTCTGTGCATATGGTGTGTTTGGGGGAGTTAGGACTCTCCTAAGAAATAGAATCAGTAGAATGTGTGTGTTTGTGTGTGCAAACTGATAGACTTTTAGGAATTGGATTGTGTGATTGTGAATGTTGGGGGGTGGAGGAAATGAGGGGAGCAGGAAGGCTCTGGCAAATCCAAAGCCTGCAGGGTAGGCTGATGTTACAGCTTGAGCCAGAGGGCAGTCAGCTGGTAGAAATCTCTCTTTCTCAGGGAACTCAGGTTTTTTTCTTGAGACCTTCAGCTGATTGTATGTGGCCCATCCACATTTTGTAAGATAATCTATTTTACTCAAAGTCTACTGGTTTATTTATTTATTTTTTAAGATTTATTTATTTATGCATACAAGAGCTGGGGTACAGGCCAGAGATGTGGGGGGTGAGAGGACCCACCAGAGACAGAGTGGGGCAGACTGCACAGGCAGACTGACTGAAATACACTGCTGAGGGGAGCAGCGGGCGAAACAAGAGAGGTCTGCTACGCCATGTGGGTTGCTCCCTGGCCAGCCGGGGATTGAACTTGTGCTGCAGAGGCTTCGGATTGCTTCATAGTGCAGTGCTTAACCCCTTGCGCCTTGGGAGGCCCAAAAGTCTGCTGGTTTAAATGTTAATCTCATCTAAAAAAATACCTTTACAGCAACATCCATTCTTGTTTGACCGAATAGCTGGCTACCGTGTCCTAGCTAAATGGACAGATATAAGGGACCGCCATGGGGCATCAAAAGTTGGGTATGTCTCCATCCCCAAAGATGGAGAGTGAGCCCAAGCATCAGGGCCTGTGCCCACACAGTGCTGGTGCTGCCCCCCTGCAGGCCTCAGTGTGAGCCCACAGTCAGCCTGCAGCGAAACTGGCTCCTGGGAGGAGTCACGGCCTGTGCTGTGGTGTGTGGGTCCAGCATCCGCTAGTGACAGGTTAGCTGTGTCTCTCTGAGAAGAGATATAACGATCAAGTGCTGGGGCATCAGCATCCTCCTGTCACCACCCCCACACAGTGCAAAGCCTGGATTAGGGTCATGGCAGGGAAAAGGGTTCTGCACTTTTGGGTAGTTAGATTTAGAGGTCAGTGTGATCATAATCCCAGGTGGGGCTTCTCTTTGCAGATCTCATTACATCCTGATGACATTTTTGTGACAAAAGTGTGCAGGTGGAGAAAGGGGGTGTGGATGCGGAAATGTGAGCATAGCTGAATGTGGGCACATTAAAGCCTGTCTAGAACCCCTTAGGGGACTGGCATTGAGTCTCCAATCCCCCTCACCCCTCAGGGGCTCTACCTGGGGGAATGAATTCATCCATTCATTCTTCTTCTTCTTCGACCTTTTCAACAAATTTTTTGAAGGTCTATACCATGTATTGGAGAAAGACGAAGGCCAAATTCTCTCTCTAATGGAGTGTATGTGCACCTAAATATGAAGCCAGATGCCCAGGACTGCAGTCGGATCATATGGTAGTTGCATGTCTGTTTTTTTAAGAATCTGCGGAACTCTTTCCAGAGTGGCTGTACCATTTTACACTCCCCCCCAGCCATGTCTGAGTGATCCATTCCTTTGCATCCTTGCCAGCATTTGGTGTTGTCACTATTTTTTATTTTAACCATTCATTGTGGTTTTCATTTGCATTCCCCTAATGGCTAATAATGTTGAACATCTTTTCATGTGCCTTGCCAGCTGTAGATCTCCTTTGTTGAAATGTCTCTTTTTGTCTTTTGCCCATTTTCTAATTGGCTTATTTGTTTTTTGTACTGTTGAGTCTAGAGATTTTTTATGTTCTAGATACAGTCCATTGTAGTTTGCAAATATTTTCTCTCATTCTATGGTTTCTCTTTTCATCCTTTCAGTCTTTTGCAGAGCAAATTTTAAAATTTTGGTAAAGTTCAATTGATCAGTGTTTCTTTTTATGGATTGTGCTTTTGGTGTCAAGTCTAAGAAATCTTTGCCCAAGATCCTCAAAGTTTTCTCCTGTGATTTTTTCCTAAACAGTTTATGATTGATGTTTAAGCCAAGCATAACCCATTTTGAGTTCATTTTTGTACAAGATCTGAGGCTTAAGGAAAAGATATTTTTGTTGCTGTTTTTTTTTATGGATATCTAGTTGCTCCAGTATAATTTGTTGAAAGAGGGAAGAATTATTCTAGTACAGTTCCTTAGTCTTTTCATATAACCTTAGAATAATTTTGTCTATAGCCACCCAAAATCTTGATGATCTTTTTATAGGAACTGCATTTAACCTGTCTACCTCCTCGGGGAGAATCAGTGTCTTTACTACACTGAGTCTTCCTGGTTAGGAACCTGATGTGTCTCGCCTTTCAATTAGATCTTTTTAAAAAAATTTCTTTCCTCTTTCTTCATCAATTCCTTTGATTCTTTGTTGTTTTCAGCTGTTCATAAGACCTGTTCATTTTTTTTTTTTTTGAGTGACTGTCAATAGTTTTTTTTGGTAAAATTATATTTTTAATTTTGATGTTCACATGTTCATTGTGGATCTCAAGAAATACAATAATTTTGCATGTTTGCCTTCTGTGCTTGCTATAAACTTGCTGGACTCATTAGTTCCTGGAGTTTTTCTGTAGATTCCTTGAGATTGTCTAGGAGGGCTGACACATAGCCCTAAATAGAGATAGTCTTGTTTCCTCCTTTTTGATTTGAATGCCTGTTATTCCTGTTCTTGCCATTCTCTGGCTACAACTTCCAGCCCCAGTGGACACCAGTGGAGAGACTGCAGAGGATGCTTTATTCCAGGTTGTAGGGGAAAACACTTCACCATTGAGTGTAATGTTAATTACAAAAAGTTTGTGGCTTTTTAAAAATCCAGTTGAGGAAGTTCCCTCTGCTACTGTTTTTCTGAGTTTTTTTTTTTTTTTTTTTTAATCTTGGGTGCTGGATTTTGTCAAAATTTTTTTTGCATTAATTGACAGGGTCATGTGCTTTCTCTTCTTTAGCCTATTAATGTGGTGATTACATGGATTAGTTTGGGAATATTGAACCAGCCTTGTATCCCTGAAATAAACTCCTCTTGCTTATGACATGTAGTTTTTTATATATTACTGAATTCTATTTGCTGGTATTTTGTTAAGGATTTTTTGTGTCTGTGTTCATAATGGATATTGGTCCAGATAGTTTTCTTGTTTTGTACTCTCTTTGGCTAACTTTGGTATTGAGATCTCATTGAAAGAATTAGATGTGCTTCTCCTCCCCTTTATTTTCTCGAAGAGACTGTGTAGAATTAATATTAATTCTTCTGAAATTTTGGGTGGAATTTCTTTTGGGGGAGTTTTTAAACTACAAATTCAATTTCTTTAGCAGTTATAGGCCTTATGAAATGATGAATTTCCTATTGAGTTGTAATTTGTGTTTTTCAATGAATTGGTCCATTTTCTCTAAGCTGTTCAATGTAGGTATGTAACAATCTTCATTTCTTTCCCGATATTGGTATCTTGTGTCTTCTCTCCTTCTTTCTTTGTCATCTTGCTGGAGGTTTTGCATTTCATTGCTCTTTTCAGAATACCAGCTTGTAGGGTAAGGTAAAAAATCAGGCTTTTCTGCCCTCCCGCCATCAGGATAGATGATGGATCCTTGCAGTCCTGAACGCATGCCTGATGGCGGGCACCTGGAGTAGGGTGTGGGCGTATGTAGATGGGATTCACCTGGGCTAAGACTGGGCTTTTAAGGGCGGCGTCATGGGGATGCCAGGTAGAAGCAGAAGCTGAGAGAGAAGCAGAGAACACTGGAGAGCCCAGATAGAGTGAAGACTTGCTGGGGGCTGGGAGGATTGCCAGCCTCCCAGCCCCCCAGCATCCCTGCCTGCTGTGTACCGGGTAAATCCCAATAAAAGCCTGCAACAAGCCACTGAGGACTCTGACTCCTCCTTTACCCGGTCTGCTGGATCAGAAAACCTGCTCAGTGGTCTTCCTGACCCTACACAGCTCCTGGTTTCATTGATTTTTCTCTATTGTTTTTCTGTTTATAATTTTATTGACTTCAACTACTGTCCTGTGTCCCTCCTTCTGCTTGCTCGGCTGTATTTCTCTCTCATTTTTAGGGATTACTGAGATGAGCTGATTTAGGTTTTGAAA